AGCATTGGTGTCAGTGACAACAATAACCTCCAGAATTGGTGCCAGTGACCAAAATAAAAAACCCCAGCATTGATGTCTGTATATGTAATAATAACCTCCAACATTGGTGTCAGTGACCATAATAATAACACTGCATGATTGGTTTCAGTGTCCACAATAACCCCCCCAGGATTGGCGTCAGTGCTAACAATAATAACCCCCAGCATTGGTGTCAGTGGTCGCAATAATAACCCCCAGCATTGGTGTCAGTGGTCGCAATAATAACCCCCAGCATTGGTGTCAGTGGTCGCAATAATAACCCCCAGCATTGGTGTCAGTGGTTGCAATAATAACCCCCAGCATTGGTGTCAGTTCTCACAATAATAACCCCCAGCATTGGTTTCATTTGCCACAATAATATCCCTGAGCCTTGCTGTAAGTGTTCAAAATAATGTCCCTTGACATAATAATAACTCTCAGCATATATCTGTGGGTTTTCCAGCACCCCACTGCTACTTTGTAAACTGCCCCACGTGTGTGGTGGTCTCAGCCCACATGGACATGGCAGGCCACAATGAGAAAGCCGATGTGGCTTGTGGGCTACATGTTGGGCATCGGGGGTCCATGTCAAGGAATGCCTTGAAATTGACTGAGCGTGTTGAAAGGAGCTCTTTACTAAATCAAGCAGGCTCTTCATCTCAGTCCAGTATTTTGCCCTGTCCAGTAAACTAAATGTTAAACCCAATCACAAAAATCTCATATTAATTAAATTTTATAAGCTGTACCATCTGTAGATTCTTCTACAATTCCATATGGTAGTGCTGCCACGAAGGCCCTTGGGCAGGCACTGCCTGTTATAGGGTGATAACAGTCTTCCAATTGCTCTCCTGCAGGAGCGGATTGATAACTCATGGGGCCCCCAGGCAATAAGGGATCATGGGGCCCCTGTGTCCTCGCCCACACCCAAAAAACCCTATAAAAAAGCCAATGAAAGGTACCAGGGGCATCTCATGGTGCCCCCTAATGACCCCAGGCACTCGGGCAGTGCCGGAGTGCTCGAATGGTCAGTCCACCCCTGCTCTCCTGTTTTGCCCCGTGTTGCATGTGCTGACAAACATTACGCAGGTCTTGTCCATCATTGTCACTATCAGAAGCCCGGTTCACAGCAATGATTTGCAGACATTGCTGGAGTGCTTGTAGAAAGGAGATGGCTGAAACAGGCTGCAGGAGATTACCAGCACTGAGATGCAACAAAGGATGAAAAGAACAAACAAAACAAACAAAACAAACATAACAAACTAAATGTCATTCATTGCTGAACTGCTACCAGATTGAAATGTTAATCCTTTTTGCATCAATGCCATCTGATATGATATCCTGGAAAAAAGCATGCAGCAAGTGAAGTCAGCATTGGTGCCATGGGATCAGTGTGACAGCCAGGCAAGTGGCATTTTTGTGCTACTTAAATCCCCTTTCTTCCCCATTCTGATGCTCAGTTTGAACTTCAGCAAGTTGTCTTTGACACGTCTAGATGCCCAAATGCATTGAGCTGCTGTCATGTGATTGGCTGATTAGCAATTTGTGTTACCAAGCTATTGAGCAGGTGTACCTCAAAAAGCGTCCAGTGAGTGTATGTAAAATGCTGCATAAGATGTCGGTGCAATATAAGTACCTAATATAATATATATACATTTAAATACCTTTTTAACACATGACCACAAGGCTCCAGGTCCTGTGCAGGGCTGACAACAAAGCTGAATTCCATAGGGCAGTGATGTCACCTACTGGCGCCCACTGCTCTAGGCATTGATGGAGGGGAAGAGAGTTCTTTCCTACCAGCCACCATACAGTACACAGAGTAAATGGAGCTTTGTGCTCACATGACTGAATAGATGAGTAGTCTCCAGTCTGTGCCCCACAGGCTGGATGTGGCCCTTTGCTTGTCTTTATACGATACGAGGCACTATTCCTTCACCTGACCTCAAATGTGCAGTACCATTCCTGCCACTGATAGAAGGCACTATTCCCCCTACTGACAGCAACTATGAGGCACCATTCCTTCAAATGACCCTAACTGCACGGCACTATACCTCCCACTAACACTAACTATAGGGTTGACCATTAACACCAATGGTGGGCAAGTATTTCTCCTACTAATAGCAACGATGGAGCCTATTCCTCCCATTGACACCAATGGTGGGCTACTGTTCCTCCCACTGATACCAACAATGGGGCGCTATTCTTCCCAGTGACACCAATGATGGGGCATTTTACTTTTTTGTTTACTCCCACTGTTGTCGTGACATTTTCTACCCCCACTGGTCATAGTCCAGCCCCCCTAAAGTCTAAGGGACAATGAACTTGAGTTGTATTTAGAATGTATGGAGACCCCTGGCATACATAAGGAAAATAAGTAACTACTTTGCGACTTGTGCTAACGTGTATGAATGGTGAGGCAGCACTGAAAAAGGTGAAGTATGGTGGAACCTAAACCTCTACCTAAAACCCCTTTCTGGGTACAATAAAAAAAGTTAACCTTGCAGTTGGCCCCGTCTGCACTGCAAGGGTCCAGTTCTCATTACAATGTAGCGTTAGCAGAATAAACTATAATACTTACCTTGCTCCATGCTCCTGCAGGCTTCATCTACTGTATGCTTTGCAACCAGTTACCTGAAGCCTCATCATTTTGGTCCTCCAGCCAACGGTCACACTCTGACCAATAGTCCTACATTTTTCTCTGCTGCCCAGAGTGGGGTTTTAAAACGTCACCTTATTGGGTTTTGAAGTAGAGGTTTACAATCTACCATACTTCACCTTTTTGGGTTTTAAACTAGAGGTTTACAATCTAGAGATTTAGGCTCTGACCTACCTCACCTTTTTGGGGGGTTTTAAAGTAGAGGTTTAGGATCTACTATGCCTCACCTTTTGGGGTTTCAAATAGAGGTTTAGGTTCTACCATACTTCACCCTTTTGGGTTTTAAAGTAGAGGTTTATACTCTACCATACCTTTTTTGGGGGGTTTTAAAGTAGAGATTTAGTTTCTACCATTTCTCAATTTTTGGGGTTTTAAAGTAGAGATTTAGGCTCTACCCTACTTCAGCTTTTGGGAGCTTTAAAGTAAAGGTTTAGCCTTTACCATACCTCACCTTTTGGTGGTTTTAAAGTAGAGGTTCAGGTTCTACCATGGCTCCCCATTGCCCTTCATCCATGTTACAGTAAATCGCAACTTAAAAATTTTTTTACCCTGTTTTTCTATGCAGTCACGTGACCACAAAGCTCCATCCTCTGTTTTAACCTTTGCATTAAATCTTTGTAGTGCGGGAGGGTGGTATAGATATATATATTTTTTTAAATTCTGGAATTCATCCTACAGTTTGCCTTTTACGTGAAAAAAAAAAAAGTGATATCATGTTTCACAAGTAACAGGTCTTCTTCAGATCCTAATACATCTTCCATACTGTTACTTTTCCGATCATGTTTCTATAGTGGATCCCCAAGTACATTGTCTCCATATGAAGAAACAAAAAGAAGGCACATGGGCCTAGTGCATTACCTTTAAAAACAAGATTTATTGATAAAAAGTAAAATATTCACAAAGGAATAAGATCAAATGAAGGGCAAGTCATAAGAAATCTTTGAAGGGAGGACACAGGTTGTGTAGACATTGGCTCGGAGGAAGAGGCACAGCCTCGAAACGCATCAGCCAACAGCCACCTAGAGGTCTACAGTCCCCCACCAGACATCCTTCAGGGTGATTGGACCACACTGCATTTCTTGTGACATGCCCTTCATTTGATTTAATTCCTTTGTGAGTATTTTACTTTTTATCAATAAATCTTGTTTTTAAAGGTAATGCACTAGGCCCATGCACACTCTTTTTGTTTCTTCATATACCATTCTTTTTGGATTTCCCTGGTCCATTGAGGGCAGCAAAGCTTGCATTCCTTCTATACTCCATGTGGGGATACAGACATTGAGGGGTCCACTGTCCAGCACAGGAGCTCAGGCATTAGGTTGCTTTTTTTTTCTTCCTATCTTACATTGTCTCCATGTGTGACCCACGCTATCAAAAGAGCATTAATTACAGACTTAATTTCCGGGGAAGTCAGACATCTCACGTGTGGATGACAGCATAGGAACAGCAGCAGAGTACAATTATGAAAAACAAATATATGAGGTTGCTGGGGCTCATTTGTTACGCTCGACTACCCATGATGAACACAGCGGCGGGAAGAAAAATAAGGCAGGGACCACGAACATTACTTCAGCCCTTTTAAATCCCTTTTCTGGAGAATCCTTTGATTTAGTAACAAACAATTATTGGCTGCCTTCCAGGGAGACGTGACACTGACCCCCAGCTAGGATTAGACATGCCACTTGCTACGTTGCTCAGCTGGCTTGGCAGGTTAGGGGCCAATTAAAATGCGAGCATGGGCCATATCTGGCAAAGAAATAATTGTGTAGATATTTAGGGCCTATTTACTTCTCTGCATTTCATCAGTATGCATTATATTGCGATTTAATGTGTGTTGCATTAAGGTATTGAAATTAATGGGCTGTCAATGCACCATACTTTGCCAAAAACCACAGGGAACCCTTTTTTGAAAACGCAGTGTGGATGTATTGCTATCATGCATGGTAAAATGGCACTGTATAGTATGTGTGGCCATGCACGAAATAACAAGCATAGTAGTATGTGACCTGGTATCAGGTCCTTGTACAGCAGGGCTGGGGTGTGAGACGAAGAAACAGCACAAAAGGTCAATCAGTTCCTATGCTAATAAAAGGCATGCTGATAGGAAGAGAAATCAGAGTGACAGAGGGATGAGCCCTTTGCCATACTGTTTCTCCCTTCACTGTCCAATTATAGACTGGAAGTAGTGTATGAGAGAAAGAAGCAGCAAAAGCAGCCAATTACTTAAAGTGTTACTAAACCCAGGACCCTGCATTCACTATATCTGATCTCCCCAGACCCTGCATTCACTATATCTGGTCACCCCGGACCCTGCATTCACTATATCTGGTCTCCTCGGACCCTGCATTCACTATATCTGGTCTCCCCGGATCCTGCATTCACTATATCTGGTCTCCCCGGACCCTGCATTCACTATATCTGATCTCCCTGGACCCTGCATTTACTATATCTGGTCTCCCCGGACCCTGCATTCACTATATCTGGTCTCCCTGGACCCTGCATTCACTATATCTGGTCTCCTCGGACCCTGCATTCACTATATCTGCTTTCCCCAGACCCTGCATTCACTATATCCGGTCTCCCCGGACCCTGCATTCACTATATCTGCTCTCCCAGGACTCTGCATTCACTATATCCGGTCTCCCCGGACCCTGCATTCACTATATCTGGTCTCAGCGGAATCTGCATTCACTATATCTGGTCTCCCTGGACCCTGCATTCACTATATCTGGTCTCCCCGGACCCTGCATTCACTATATCTGCTCTCCCAGGACTCTGCATTCACTATATCCGGTCTCCCCGGACCCTGCATTCACTATATCTGGTCTCAGCGGAATCTGCATTCACTATATCTGGTCTCCCTGGACCCTGCATTCACTATATCTGGTCTCCCCGGACCCTGCATTCACTATATCTGCTCTCCCAGGACTCTGCATTCACTATATCCGGTCTCCCCGGACCCTGCATTCACTATATCTGGTCTCAGCGGAATCTGCATTCACTATATCTGGTCTCCCTGGACCCTGCATTCACTATATCTGGTCTCCCCGGACCCTGCATTCACTATATCTGCTTTCCCCAGACCCTGCATTCACTATATCCGGTCTCCCCGGACCCTGCATTCACTATATCTGCTCTCCCAGGACTCTGCATTCACTATATCCGGTCTCCCCGAACCCTGCATTCACTATATCTGGTCTCAGCGGAATCTGCATTCACTATATTTGGTCTCCCTGGACCCTGCATTCACTATATCTGGTCTCCCCAGACCCTGCATTCACTATATCTGGTCTCCCCGGACCCTGCATTCACTATATCTGGTCTCCCTGGACCCTGCATTCACTATATCTGGTCTCCCCGGACCCTGCATTCACTATATCCGGTCTCCCCGGACCCTGCATTCACTATATCCGCTCTCCCAGGACTCTGCATTCACTATATCCGGTTTCCCCGGACCCTGCATTCACTATATCTGGTCTCCCCGGACCCTGCATTTACTATATCTGGTCTCCCCAGAATCTGCATTCACTATATCTGGTCTCCCCGGACCCTGCATTCACTATATCTGGTCTCCCCGGACCCTGAATTCACTATATCTGGTCTCCCGGACCCCGTATTCACTATATCTGGTCTCCCTGGACCCCGCATTCACTATATATGGTCTCCCCGGACCCCGCATTCACTATATCCGGTCTCCCAGGACCCTGCATTCACCATATCTGGTCTCCCCGGACCCTGCATTCACTATATCTGGTCTCCCCGGACCCTGCATTCACTATATTTGGTCTTCCCGGACCCTGCATTCACTATATCCGGTCTCCCCGGACCCTGCATTCTCTATATCCGGTCTCCCCGGAATCTGCATTCACTATATCTGGTCTCCCTGGACCCTGCATTCACTATATCTGGTCTCCCCGGACCCTGCATTCACTATATCTGGTCTCCCTGGACCCTGCATTCACTATATCTGGTCTCCTCGGACCCTGCATTCACTATATCTGCTTTCCCCAGACCCTGCATTCACTATATCCGGTCTCCCCGGACCCTGCATTCACTATATCCGCTCTCCCAGGACTCTGCATTCACTATATCCGGTCTCCCCGGACCCTGCATTCACTATATCTGGTCTCCCCCGGACCCTGCATTTACTATATCTAGGTCTCCCCAGAATCTGCATTCACTATATCTGGTCTCCCCGGACCCTGCATTCACTATATCTGGTCTCCCCGGACCCTGCATTCACTATATCCGGTCTCCCCAGACCCTGCATTCACTATATCTGGTCTCCCCGGACCCTGCATTCACTATATCTGGTCTCCCCGGACCCTGCATTCACTATATCTGGTCTCCCGGACCCCGTATTCACTATATCTGGTCTCCCCGGACCCTGCATTCACTATATCTGGTCTCCCCGGACCCTGCATTCACTATATCCGGTCTCCCAGGACCCTGCATTCACTATATCCGGTCTCCCAGGACCCTGCATTCACCATATCTGGTCTCCCCGGACCCTGCATTCACCATATCTGGTCTCCCCGTACCCTGCATTCACTATATCCGGTCTCCCCGGAATCTGCATTCACTATATCTGGTCTCCCAGGACCCTGCATTCACTATATCTGGTCTCCCCGGACCCTGCATTCACTATATCTGATCTCCCCGGACCCAGCATTCACTATATCTGGTCTCCCCGGACCCTGCATTCACTATATCCGGTCTCCCCGGACCCTGCATTCACTATATCTGGTCTTCCCGGACCCTGCATTCACTATATCTGATCTCCCCGGACCCAGCATTCACTATATCTGGTCTCCCCGGACCCTGCATTCACTATATCCGGTCTCCCCGGACCCTGCATTCTCTATATCTAATGCACACCAATCTGAGCCTGTGCAAAATGCGTATGGTTCAGTTTGTCTTATAAGGAGATAAGAGGTGGTCGCTTGAAAAAGGGGAGTATCAGAGAAGAGAGAATCAAACAACCTATTAACACAATGCGGAGGATTAACCCCTTAGGTTCCACAGTGAGTATAACAAGCAGGATTTACTGCATATACAGACTGATTGTACTGTTGTGGGTTTAGTAACACTTTCATTTTTTTTTTTTAAATAAAAAACACATCATACTTACCTGTGGTGTGTTGGGGTTTTGCATAGAGCAGCCCAGATCCTCCTTTTCTCGGGTCCCCCGTTGGCACTCCTGACGCCTCCCTCCTATCAGGTGCCCCCACAGCAAGCAGCTTGCTATGGGGCACCCACTGTTCTGTGTGCCCATTCACATTGGCTCACTGGCTGTGATTGACAGCAGCGGCTGTCTCAGCCAATAAAGAGAGGGAGTCCTGAGATTGCAGAGACTTCAGTGCACATCTCTGGATCGAGAGGGGGCTTAGGTAAGTATTAGGGGGGCTGAGGGGGATGCTGCCTCCAGCCTGCCCAATCACAGGCTGGAGGCAGGTCCAGGACAACCTGGTCTCAGAGGAAGTGGGTTGGACAAGGCTGGCCATCAGACTGAGGACATCTAGTGGTAGAAAAAAGTATCAGGAGATAATCCCTGAATTGAAACTGAACATTGCACCAAAAGTTAGTTTCACTACTTTATCTTTTCACAGGCTATTCGTTTTTTATCTTTTTTTTCTTGGCTGGAGTTCCTTCATGTATACAACGCATGCAGGTAAAAAACTTTCAGCCTTTACAACCACTACTTGCCCTCCAGAGGATTCCCCCCCCCCCCCCTTCCTGGCCATTTTTTGCAATACAGCGCTGCGTTACTGTAACTGACAATTGCGCGGTCATACAATGCTGCACCCAAATTTTTCCCATGAATTGAGCTTTCTTTTGGTGGTATTTGATCGCCTGTGCATTTTTTTTCTTATAATATATGTAATATTATTTATATATATGTGATTTTGTGCACCCGTGCCACCCTGTAGCAGTATTTCTGCTCAAGGGCGGACGGGAAGCGGTTAATGTGCTGACAAGAAGCATGTTGATAGAAGGAGAGAGCAGAGAATGACAGATAGATTAGCTCATTACTAGGTTGATTCTTTTTTCACTGCCCAATCATAGGCTGGAGGCAGGTCCAGCACAACCTGGTCTCAGAGGAAGTGGGTTGAATGCAGCTGCCCATCAGACTGAGGACATCTAGTGGTAGAACAAAGTATCACCAGATAATCTCTGAATTGAAGTTGACTATTGTAGCAAAAGTTGGTTTCATTATTTTATCTTTTCACAGGCTATTAATTTTTATTTTTTATTTTTTGGCTGGAGTTCGGCTTTTAAAGGAAAACATATAGTATATTTCCAACGAAAACACATTTAAAGCTGTTGCTTTAAATTTCACTGCCCAATCACAGGCTGGAGGCAGGTCCAGGACAACCTGGTCTCAGAGGAAGTGGGTTGGACAAGGCTGGCCATCAGACTGAGGACATCTAGTGGTAGAAAAAAGTATCAGGAGATAATCCCTGAATTGAAACTGAACATTGCACCAAAAGTTAGTTTCACTACTTTATCTTTTCACAGGCTATTCGTTTTTTATCTTTTTTTTCTTGGCTGGAGTTCTGCTTTAAAGGAAAACATATAGTATATTTCCAACGAGAACACATTTAAAGCTTTACATTTTACTGCCCAATCACAGGATGGAGGCAGGTCCAGGATGACCTGGTCTCAGAGGAAGTGGGTTAGACAAGGCTGACCATCAGACTGATGACATCTAGTGGTAGAAAAAGTATTAAAATAAAATATCTGAACTGAAGCTGACTATTGCAGCAACAGTTGGTTTCATTATTTTATCTTTTCACAGGCTATTCGTTTTTTTTATCTTTTTTTTTTTTGGCTGGAGTTCTGCTTTAAAGGAAAACACAGTATATTTCCAACGAGAACACATTTAAAACTTTAAATTTCACTGCCCAATCACAGGCTGGAGGCAGGACAACCTGGTCGCAGAGGAAGTGGGTTGGACAAGGTTGGCCATCAAACTGAGGACACCTAGTGGTAGAAAAAAGTATTACGAGACATTTTCTGAATTGAAGCTGACTATTGCAGCAAAAGTTGGTTTCACTATTTCATCTTTTCACAGGCTAGTTGTTTTTATCTTTTTGGCTTTTCTGCTTTAAAGGAAAATGTATAGTATACTTCCATGGAGAACACATTTAAATTTCGAATGGACTTTGCGTTTTTGCTGTTTCATATTTCCATGTTGGCGTTCTGATGCATGGATTGATGTTTGAGCTGACCCTTTGGGTTTTGCCTGTGGAGCAGTAAAGGACAGTCACCGCGTTTCCTCCGCTCATCAGGAATGATCCAGCCATCTATAATTGGTATTTGAAGTTCTTTGTCGGTCTGACGTCTCCCCCTGGCAACCACTAAGTAGGGAAGGGATGCCAGTTGTGGGCCAGCCATGGTAACGGATTTGGCAGGACTTAAGGATAAGGATGATAAGTTTCATTATTGTCAAACAGTAACCAATTAGGCAGACGTGTTTACTGGCACATACGTTCAAGGACTGGAAAATAACTTCTGCTGCAATGACGGCTCAGCTTGACATTTCCTTTAAAAGGAAATCTGTTACATAGGATGCAAAATCACAGATATCCACAATCGTTCTCCATTGCTGGGTGCGAGTAACTCCCAACATTCACTGATACAAGAGATACAAAGTAACAAAAGCTCTGAATTCAATTTAGAGGGTAACTCCACTTTTTCCTTTTCAATCTGCAGCGCTCTGATTTCCGGTAAAATGCAATGCAATATGGCATTCACTGATTTTTAAAGCTGACCTCCAGGCAGATGCAAGAGACACAAAGTAACAAAGCTCTGAATTAAATTTAAAGGGTAACTCCACTTTCATGGGAAAAAAATAGCAAATAATAATAATAATAAAAAAAAAAATGAAGGTATACAAATGCGACTCAAGTCACATTGTAATTGAATGTTATTAAACATTACCTTTCCTTTTCAATCTGCAGCGCTGTGATTTCTTGTAAAATGCAATATGGCATTCACTGATTTTTAAAGCTGAACTCCAGGCAGATACAAGAGACACAAAGTAACAAAGCTCTGAATTACATTTACAGGGTAACTCCACTTTCATGGGAAAAAAAATAGCAAATAATAATAATAATAATAAAAAAAAAAAAAAAAAAGAAGGTATACAGTTGCGGCTCAAGTCATATTGTAATTGAATGTTATTAAAAATGACATTTCCTTTTTATTCTGCAGGATCTGTGATTTCCTGTAAAATGCAATATGGCATTCACTTATTTTTAAAGCTGAACTCCAGGCAGATACAAGAGACACAAAGTAACAAAAGCTCTGAATTCAATTAAAAGGGTAACTCCACTTTCATGGGAAAAAAAAAAATAGCAAATAATAATAATAATAAAAAAAAAAAAAAAGCGAAGGTATACAATTGCGACTCAAGCCATATTGTAATTGAATTTCATTAAAAATGACCTGTAGTGCATTTTTGATGCGTTTTGTGTTTTGTTCTGCACAGCAACAAGTTTAAAAAGAAAAAAAACACATAAAAAAATGCATCACAAATGCATCAAAAACACATGTGCACAAATGCAAAACGCACCGCAAAAAACACTGCAGAAATGGATCAAACGCAAACTGCACAGGTGTGAACCTAGCCTTAGGAAGAAATGGATCAAATGCAAACTGCACAGGTGTGAACCTAGCCTTAGGTAGAATTGGATCAAACGCAAACTGCACAGGTGTGAATCTAGCCTAGAATTGGATCAAACGCAAACTGAACAGGTGTGAACCTAGCCTTAGGTAGAAATGGATTGAACGCAAACTGCACAGGTGTGAACCTAGCCTTACACAGAAATGGATCAAACGCAAACTGCACAGGTGTGAACCTAGCCTTAGGTAGAATTGGATCAAACGCAAACTGCACAGGTGTGAATCTAGCTTAGAAATGGATCAAATGCAAACTGCACAGGTGTGAACCTAGCCTTAGGTAGAAATGGATCGAACGCAAACTGCACAGGTGTGAACCTAGCCTAGAAATGGATCAAACGCAAACTGAACAGGTGTGAACCTAGCCTTAGGAAGAAATGGATCAAATGCAAACTGCACAGGTGTGAACCTAGCCTTAGGTAGAAATGGATCAAACGCAAACTGCACAGGTGTGAACCTAGTCTACAAATGGATCAAACGCAAACTGCACAGGTGTGAACCTAGCCTTAAGGTAGAAATGGATCAAACGCAAACTGCACAGGTGTGAACCTAGCCTTAGGAAGAAATGGATCAAACGCAAACTGCACAGGTGTGAACCTAGCCTTAGGTAGAATTGGATCAAACGTAAACTGCACAGGTGTGAATCTAGCCTAGAA